GGTGAGGAGGTCAAAATGAGATGATACCAAAGCTCAAAAATAAAGGCACAAAATAAGGCCAAACAAGGCCTAAGGGGGGGAAGGCAACGCCCAACCAAAAAATGACCTTAAACAATCATCTTAAGCACACAAAAATAGAACATTTTTCAGTTTATAGTTAAGCTTAAAACAATATGCAAATAGGTCTAAAGGCTTAACTCAAAATGGGGAAACAAAAGGTAGTTTGCTCACCTTTGAAGAACACTTCAAGAACACCACTCCAGCAGCTTCCTCTGATCAAATCAGCAACTCAAGGATGGTGTATCACTAGGTGCCTTAGTGCAAAAGTATGAACAAAACACACTTTTAAGGCATCAACAAACACACAAATGTAGAGAGAGAGAGAGAGAGAGAGAGAGAGAGAGATAGAGAGAGAGGGATATATGAACTCTATATCTATTTTGCTGAACCTCTGAGAAAGGAGGAGGAGCTCCCCGCTTATAGGAATCCAATTCCAAGGCTTCTTGGAGAAGCCAAGACAAGGTGCAAATCCCTTCATACACGTGTGTAGAGGGGGGGATTATGCATGCCAGCTGTGACAGCTGGCATAAAATATCTGCCAAAAGCAAATGGAAAGGGGTCGATTGGAAAATATGGTCGATTGACAAACAAAGGTGGCCGACCGACCATAAAAAGTGCTGACCGACCAACACCTTTGGCTGATGGCAAGAAAAAAAGGGCCGAAGGCACAAAGCCTTGGCCGGTGGGTTGAGGAAATGGCCAACAAGCCACCTTCTTCCCTCAAAAGCAAAAAAACACAAGTGCTTGGTCCACAACCAAGCACAAAACAGCCAAGCTGAGAGATCTTGAGGCAAGGCGCGCGGCCGAGACCTCTGGGAACTCAAAACGAACATGAGCATGGATGATCACCGAGTATTCAGACGGTGACGTCCAAGTCTTGAGGACGGTCAAAAATGGGGTGTCTACACCGAACCTCATCAAACCCCGCCTAGGTGAGATCTTAAGGAACCTACGATCGCCCACTTCAAGGAACAAAGGTTGCCTTCTCCTATTGGCATAACTTTCTATCAGCTTTGGGCTGTAACTACCCTCTTTCGAATGAAAACAACTTTCTCGGTTGCCTCTCTAACAGACTCCGGACCCAACAATGGTGCATCCCCCACCTTGGCCCAACAAACTGGTGACCCACAAGGTTGGCCATACAAGGCCTCAAACGGTGCCAAGGAAGACCTCCCAACCGACCAAAGAAACACAACATCAACCTCCGGCCACAACCCATTTGGAGTACTACCCTGACTCTAAGAACTCCAAGGATGCCGAATTGGTCAAGAACACAAGGAAAGGGTCACAGACTTCCCCTCAATTCACACTACTCACTGGGTCTATGAGACAAGAGAAACAACAACCACGGCAACCACAAGTACGCCCCGGGTATCCACTACCACTAACTCAAACACTCCCCATACTCAGCACTCCAACAAGACGGGAACTAGATTTTTACCACAAGATCCTTGGTTTCCTCGTTTAAGAAAAGGTTACAACAAAACACGGCTCAAAACAAGACTCCGAACTAGCAAGTTCTTATAACGCCCAACCACCCACATAACCGAACGCACAAAACTCGAGATTTAGAAATACAATCAAAGTGGTTACACCATTACAACCATAAGGGTACAATAATTAACAACTCAATTTCAAAAGAAGGTTTTCATCGTTTTCTTAATTATGTGTAAAAGTCATCTCTTTACATATAAAACATTTTCTCAAAAGTGTTTCAAATTCACACCAGCCACAAGTCAAAATGCATTTTCTTCCTTTCAAGTAACAATCCAAAATTTGTTCATTTTAACTCCTACTCCCTCGTAACAACCGGCGGATCTTTGCCTTTAACCCACAACACCCATCACCCACATGGTGATGCTACAACCAATCAACATAACATAGCATTTGTGCAATATTAATTAATAGAATCACAACAATCATACCCCTTCTACTCGACCAAAAACATTATTATTACCACACAAGTTATTATTCACACATGATAACAACATGATTCACATAAACTAGTTAAAATAAGGATTGTTCTTGTTATTTTGAAAGAAAATTCCTTTGTACATTTTCTCAAAATTTACTTAAATTCATATCATTTTCTAGCAAAAATTTCATGTCATAAACTTCAAGAAAAATCTTTTCCTTTTGCAAACATTTTTCCCCAAGACATACCTTAAAGTCTCACCTCAAATGTTTTAGTTGAAATCGAAAAGTCATGAAGGTTACCAAAAGCTAACAATCACTTTTCGATTTATCTTTACGACAAACATCGGTGAATCCCAACCATCACCCGATCACACTCATCACACATACAGTGACCTGCCCAATGCAATAATTACATTTCCATAACAACAAAAGTTAGGAATAAACACGGTGCCAAGGAACTATGCAGCACGCATAACTTTCAAAACTTCGAAGGTTCCATACCAACACAAACATTAACCAAGAAGACCATCGATACACGAAGACTTACAAGCTTTCCTAACCAAGTAGCTAACGCTTCACCCCGACTCTCGGGTTTCTAAATTCACATCGGTAAGCACACATCGACTACCACCCGCACAAGCAAGGCTTAACGCCCACAAACACAATCCACAGCACAAAACCATCTTCTAGCTAATTCTGTGCTAGATTTTTCAAAGGCTCAACCTTACAACCCGCATCTAAACCATTCTAAAGTGACTATTTGTCACCCACCTTGATACCACTCAACTTAACTATTCACTCGAGAGTTTCCGCTCCCGGTTTTCAAGCACCAACATACCATTCCCAAAGGAATTCTATTAACACACCTAGATGGCCAACACACTCTTATACCCAAGACAAGACCGAGTAGGTCAACGGCAATCACACGATCCCGGCCACCCAAGACACTTCTTACCAGTGGTACACTCATCACTTGAGATCACAAACCATTCATTACTCCCCCGAGATGCGAATCTCATACTCCCTAAACATTCCCACATTACTCTCACCAATCTTCACAAAACTCTCAGGTCTCACACTTCCTCAAACTTAACACAATAAAGCTTCTAGAATTAATTGTGGCCCCCATCCTAACATTACGCTAGCCACAAAATTTTCCATAGAGTTCTCAATCCCCATCAACAATTTCTAAAATCAAGAATGAAAGGCCATCACAAGACCATCACATAATTCAACAGTTGATATACAATAGCATTAGGGTCCACAATTCCATTTACACATTCATAACAAACAATTTGAGTTTCATTAGCAAGCCCCACACGTGAGGGTAACAAATAACAATACATAACTACGGCGCCTTAGCACCCTACGACACATCGGTCAATCCCAAAAGTTTCACAATTTATAACATAGATTTTTAAAACAAAAGCCCCTCTCATGGGTGATACTACCGTGTTGGTTTAAAAGTTGACCCTTGCAAAGCTTCCGAAGCCTGGCCTCCTCGGGTCTGATACCGACAACGTCCCCAACTAGACTGATGGAACAAGGTCGGACTAGATTTTGAAATACTGGAAGGATTACACATAAAGGGAAAAAACGTCTAGCATGGGCCCGCTGACCACAATCAAAACAAAACAACGGCCTCCCAACACTGAACCTGATTTGGAGCCTAAACCTCACTGGATCCCCCAACGGACGAGTTCGAAACCCCCGAAGAAAACAAGGACCGAGTCTAGTAGTGAGCATGCTCTCGCCTCCACCTCTTATTAAATCTAGGGTGCTTATGAGCTGTAGGAGTAACCGATGTGACCTTCTCCGTAACTCAACCAACATTGCTAACCACGGCCTCTCCATGGGTTGCCGCCTCAACTAGATCAAAATAATTCTTCTACTTAGATTCAACCACCTCCTCCCAGATATCATCACACAACCGCCTCTCAAACTCATAACAACGGCGCTCCTTTGTTGCCACCAATGCTGGAGCAGATCTCGACAATTAGTGAACCACCTCTCAAACTGAGCCAAAGGAGTAACATCCTGACGCAACTCAACAAACTGTTCCCTTAACCTTTTCTGAGTAGAAGAAGGGAAATACTTGGCCAAGAAGGCCTCAGTAACGCTACCCACATGGCACCTATGGTACCCTTCACATACTCCCACCAATGATTTGCATTCCCCTTCAATTGAAAGGTTGCCAAAGAAACCCTCAACCCCTTGTCCTCGACTCTGAGCATGTCAAGAGTCTTGGTAATTTGTTCCAACCAACTCTCCGCCTCCGGTGGTCTTGCCCCTCCCAAAAACTCCGGTGGATTGGAGCGAAGAAACACTTTAATAGGTTTAAGGGTACGCCCGTTGTCCCCCTCATTGCGACCTAGAGCGTCTTGCACCGCTCTCACAACCTCACATGCAACTTCCCTGCCCGCAGCCGATGCTGTAACGACAGGTGCTAGGGGAAACTCCATGCCCCTACCAACACTCCTATTACTCATCCGTCCTTCTTTTCCTCATATAGACATCCTAGTTAAGGAACAAAATAGATAACTTAGCACATAATCCCTAATGCGCTCGCAACTTGCCTCACACGTTGAGATAGTACAATTATATACATTCTAACAAACAAACAATTCAATTCACTCCACATAAGAACATAGTCACATAACCACATACGAATTATCCTTTAGCGATGCCATTCGTCCCATGAGAAACCAAGAATTCTTAGTAGAATGAGTATTGATCAAGTACCCTTCTAATAGGACCTCAAGGAAACTAATAGGCACAAATAACATCCCAAAAGTTTAATCCCATCCCCACATAGTCACATAAACATGCTGTCACATAATCACAAAAACAAAATATTACCTAGTCATGCGAAATGAGCCCATTGTGGTATAACGACCACTTCCCGCGAGCCCCAAGTATTGAAACCCGGTAGCTCTGATACCAAGTTGTCACGCCCCGAAATAATTCGACAAGAACTACCCATATAACTGTTACATCAACTCACTTTCAAAATAAGATATTAACCGTAATCATTTACATAGTTCCAAATGTTACCAAAATATCCTTACATGCCATTATACATTTATTTACAACTAGTACATGAACCGATAGCATGCAAAAGAAATCATTAACTTACAACAAATAAGGCCCTCAAGGGCTTACAAGTTCCAAGGCAATAGCCCGGTTACATATAATGGTCTCTCGGACCCAAACACATTAGCCCTTGGCTTACAACAAATATCACAACAAAATAAGAGTCAAACTACTCTTCTTCAAACATCTCTATGCCCTTAGCTTGGTGGGGTCACCACATCTTTACCTGCACCAATTCCCATAGGGGTGAGCATAAAGCCCAGTAGAGATTCCTCACAAAGTATATACAGTTATGCCAGTACCATCAACGTTAAAAATACGTATGTAATGCCATGCAAGTGCCGATGTTGAAGGAAAATTTTATCTCAATGCACTATTTCAAAATCACCATGTTCTCAACAATATTCAATGCACTATTTTGAAACCACCATCTTCTCAATGATATTCAATGCAATCTCATCAATTTCAAACTTTGAATAGTTAAATCAACAAGGGCGGTCAATATGACACTGGTAATCCCTAGGCTGACGTCTGCAAGTAGGCTTTACAAGCACTACCAAACTGTCATTTTTACCGGTATTAACCGGAAGGCTCGACACCTATCCGCGCGGCTTTCGAATCTTTCACCCTGAACACTCAGGCCAACTTAACAAGTTCAACTACACCCCTTATCCGTACTTACCACCGTATTTACCCCATAAACATTTCCATTACTTCTCATTACAACATTATTTTCTTTCATGAAATAAATGTCATCAGTAGAAATTTACAATGCAAAATTAATAATTGAGTGAATATGCAATGCAATGATTTTCCATAACTCAAAACATTTCTCATTTTCTTTCTTCAATGTTATCTCACAAAATAACATATATACCTTCAACTCATGGCAATTCCCGCAATCCATGGCACATACCAATTTCCCATTCCTCAATCATGCATGCTCATGTATTACATAATAACTTCATGAATAATTTCTCATTCTCCATCTCCATATGTCAAAACTTTCCATCTTTTGCAATCACATTATGAAATCTACATACATTCATCTCTTATCAAATAAAAGGAGAAATTTCATGGACCTTTCTAAGTTTTTCTCAAAAATCCCCAAATTCTAGGGTTTTTCCTCAAGCCAAACACCTCTCATTTCTTGGTGAAAAACACTCATCAAAACATTTTTCTTAGATCAACAAAATGGAACCCTCAAAGATTGACCAACATTTTGAAAGTTTAAAGAAAAACCCACTTATAAGGAAAATCTCTACATTTTTGAAATCACAAAGTTAAAAGCATCAAAACTTGAAGAAACCCTTGGATCATCATCAAAATAGCAAAACTATATATATAACTCAAGAAATCCCTACCTTAAAGCTTGATGAAGAAAGATGAGCTGAAACCCTAGCCTCAAAGATGAGAAAAACTTTGGATCTCCAACACCCAAGTGAAGCCCTAGCTTTGGATTTTCAAGATTGAGAGAAAGATGATGAAGATCTTGACCCACAAAATTGCAAAATAAAAGTGTATAGATGTTTTAGGAGGTTTTCTAGAGAGAATGGGGAGAAATATAGGGTTTAGAGTGAGAGAGACATGAGTATAATGGGTGACACATTCGGGCCAAAACGTTATATAAAAACAGAGCTCGGACTGCCCGTTTGGCCGCTCGTGCGGCCTTCTCCACCGCTCGAGCGCCCCACCTTGACCGCTCGTGTGGTCCATTTTCTCCGCTCTTGCGTCGATTTCAGAATCAAAATTTCTGGGTCTCAAACTTGGCTGCTCGTGCGGCCCCTCTCACTGCTCGTGCGGTACAATTCTGCACGTGCGGCCTAGGGCCCCACACGTGCAGTCTTGGCCCAACTGCCCAAAGTTTCAACTTCGTCCCTGACACCCCGAACTCACCTGTGCACCCTCCGGGACAAACAAATATTCAACACTAGAAGAAAAGAATTTGGAAACCATTTCCGAACACTTCAATTCAACAAGAATAAAAAGAGAACGAACCGGAGGAAAGAAAGAATAAAGAGAAAACAAAGACCCGGTCGTCACATTTGTTGACATCCGACGCTGTTTGACCAATTTAGAATGTCAACCGGTTCGAAAAAAAAGTTTCTAAAGGACAAGTTTTCACAAATGGAAATTAGGCTCTAAACTCAAAACCAAAAATCGGTTTTGAGTTTCGCCTTTCCTTACAAGTCATTTGTTCATAGTTAGTTGTCTGTGTCAATTTTCATTAACAGTCAATGTTGTTTAACCATTTTAGTGTGTCAACTAGTTAAGAAAACAAAAGTTAAAAGTACTTTAGCGATTTTTGCCTCAAAAGCTACATCAACACTCTAGTAGACTTTATAAAATAAAAAAATAAAAAAAAAAAAGAAAGAAAAAAAAAGAAGAAGAAAATAAACTATTAAGTAGCTCCATAAGCTAAACCAAACGACCCCTAAATCAACGAACCTTATACCTTTTGGAGAAAAAGTAAGGACACAGACGGTGTGGTAGCCGTTAGTTAGCCCAAGAATGATGAAAGCAATATCATCCAGCCCTGGCTGCCATATTTGGTTGTGAAATAGAATGTTGGATGAGTTTTAAGAAAATACAAATGGCAATTGGTCAACCAACTTAGGTTAGTAGATTTTCAATCTATTCTTGAAAAACATTGTAATCAAAAATAGTTACCACAGTATTCCTAGTTCAAGTGTAAAAATGGTGACGCAGTGCACCCATAAGGAATCTAAGTAAAATTAGAAAGGTAGTAAAATATAGAAAATGCAAAATGGCATAGGCAGACTTGAAGTCTTGGGGTAATAACCTTAAGGTTATGGTTTCAAGTCTTGGGACCACCATTTTGTGCATTATGTCAAAGGTTAGATGTATACTAAATCTTTGACCTCCCAAATACACATTAATGTGTATTAATTGGGCGTTGTTTTATATATAGTTTTTCATTGATATCTAGAAGAAAAAGTTGGAAATATTTCTTAAAATGATTGATGTTACCAAAACACGAGCAACCATATCCCATGGTTTTAGATGATATTCCAAATATGGTTCTACAATTTCCAAAGCTACATGGCACATATCCACTGCAGCAGCACCAAGCCTTCTTATGCCCTACACATATAAATGTCGAAATGGAGAGAGAGATTACAAAAACTTGAAACACAAAATCTTCCAGCCATATCTATGACGTAAGAAGTAAAGCAAGTTATCAGTAAAGCAAGTGAAAGAAAAAGGTTATTGCCCGGCTGACATCAGTAAATTCTTTGAATAACACTATGTTGGTACTCTATGCATCGTCATGTTCATACCCAAATCTAGTAACTAGAAGTGATTGCTCTACCTAAGAAAACAAGTGAAAAAAGGTGAGCGGAAAAAAAATATATATATATTTCCAACTTTCAACTCTAAACCACCACAGTTTTAGACAATTTTTTTCAATGTGATCTGTTTCCAAAAGTGGAAGGAACATGATTAATTTTATAGACAGATAAGAAGTGAAATATACACAAGCATTTGAATTGTCCTGTAATAGAGTCTGTTGTTGTCAATACCTTCTTCTCAGTTCCTTTTCCTTGCATAAACTGAGCTTGGGCAAGGAATTGATAAGAGGGACTTACAAATAATGTGCTCAGAAATCCATAATGGAGTCTGATCACAAGGTCTAAAAGTATGTAAAGTTCACGGAAAAATTCCTCGAGTCTAAACGCTATAAAACAGAAAGTTGGGTACATCCTCAACCAGTCTCTCTTCCACATCCACCACCAACAAAAAAATGGTCTTATTGATGGTCACCTATTGAATAAAACATTATAGTCTTAATGTAACATGATCACTCACCTTATCGGTATGACTCATTTGAATCTTTTGCCCATTACAAAAAGCACCCCCACCTAGAATAAAGAGTAAGAAATATTTTATATTTCAATTTTGGTATGTAAAAGAGCTTGTTACATAATTGTTTAGATAAAACCTTCTTACCAGCAGTTGCAGAAAACGTGTGTGTATTCCAACACATTGGGGCTCCAACAAATTCTACCTTAAACACAAACCAATTGTCATCCCTTCAAGTCAGAAACAAAGAAACTCATTCAGTCTTGATCTTGGACGAAATAATTGAACAACAACTACTTCAAAAATTAGTTGAGTTGAGTTCAATGCCAAAAAAAAAATAGAAAATGAAAAGGTTTATGCAACTATGTTTTATATTCTGATTAACACATCAACCAGGGAAACCATCATTTAGTATAACAACTTCAATGACCATATTAATTTGCATATCAAATTTCAATCCGATGGACCGTTACAGAATTATGCAAATTCTTTTTGGAGACTATAAAGGTATGTGATTATATACCATAGCACCAGCAGCCGACTTTCCTTTATACAGAACTCCCACAAAGACTGCAAAGCTAGGGTAGCAATGTGCAAAATTTCTTGTCCCAGCTATATAGATATCAAAGGCAAATGGCCTTACGTCAGAAAACTAGCTGCAACTATAAGAAGTAAATGCAGAAAAGTGAAGAAGCACATTCAAGAAGGCAGATGATAACATGTTTCAATATGAAGGAATTATCAGCAATCATAATGAGGTAACAGTTAAGTGTCAGCATCCACTTTGAATTGAGAAAAGTTGTCAATATGAAAAAAGAAATGGGAAATAGAAACTAGAAATGTGGTCCATATGTCATAGGAAATCAGAAATGCTAGGTGATAGATATAAGATCGAATAGAATATGTAAAAGACAAATTATTAGGAACTTTTAAAATAGGGTGTGGAAGAAATTATTGGATTGGGATTGGGAGAAGGAAAAGGTGTGGAAGGAAAAAAAATATATATATATATATTTTCTTGCATATAAATCAATCACACACCCCATATATTGCTCTTCAGAAGCAGCTCATTTCCCATTTTTTTTAGTCAATAAAATTTACTCTCCAGAATTTTTATTCATATAGAAATATTCCAGAATTCAATCTAAAAACTGCAACTGAAGTGCATTCCTACACTCCAAAAAGGAGAACAAGAAACAGGGCCGGCCCTGCCCTAAGGCAAGTAAGGCTTGTGCCTTAGGCCTCATATTTTGGCCCAAAAATAGGGCCCCAAATTTAAAAAATTGTTATAGGTTTAATTTTTTTTTTTTTTTGATTTTAAGATCAATTTAAAGGGCCTCAAATGTTTTATTGGACCCATGTATAATTTAGCCCATATTTATTTATAAATGTGTTTGGCCCATATTTATTAAAATGAAAATATATAAATAAATAAATAAAAAACAATAGGGCTCCTAAATTTGGTAAAACATATAAACATATATAACATAGGGCCTCTAAATTTGGTAAAATATTATAGGCTCAATGTTTTTTTTTTTTTTTTGGTTTTAGGATGAATTTAAAGGGCCCCAAAATATTTTTTTGGGTCCATGTATGATTTACTCCATATTTATTTATAAGTGTAGTTTGGTCCATATTTATTAAAATGAAAATATATATTAAAAAAAAGTGTTTGGGCTCAAGAAAAATAATACATACAATATATGGGCCCTATTTTTTTTATTTTTTATTTTTACCTTCTTTATTTATTAGATTTTAGTGGAATAAATAATTTTGCTCAAATTTTTTTACCTAGGTCTTTATCAGTTTTAATTGAATAATTTTTTCCTAATTTTTTTGTTTTAATTTTGTTTAATTAAATTGTTTTATTTATAATTTTAATGATTATATGTGTAAGTAAATTTTTTTATGGTTACAAACAAATAAAAAAATTGTAACTTATCGTTTTATTCATGAATTTTTTTTCAATATAAAAGGGCCTCCATTTCCAAAATTCGCCTTAGGCCCTGACGAACTCAGGGCCGGCCCTGACAAGAAACAAAAAGTTATTGCCAATAAGTTAGTCTTGTGGCTTAGAATTTTGAGAAGCCTAATAAGTTTCAAAAGGAACAAAAAAATAGGTTATGCAAGTCATCTAATTTGACCACACAAATTCTGATATATAATTGAAAATGAATCAATAAGTTCTAGCAAACAATATTAAAATCATGTCAAGTTGTAAAAGTTTTACGATAGTTACATTGCTAAATAATTCACAACTAGTTAGACAAGTATAAGTCTTGAATCAAGCGTTGAGTTCCGTTCGAGGAACTTGGTGAATATGTACGCATAATCTTAATTACCAAAGGGTTAAGACAGTCTAACCTAAGGGATCTATGCACCAAAGATAATCAGAAGATGAATCGCCAATAAGCCCTCCCTCTTCCCCAAGAATAAGGTGATCCTTGATTAGATATACACAGATTGAACTTGCAGAGATAGGTTAAAATGACAATTAAGTAATAATATTAGATTTGATACACAGATTGAACTTGACAAAGCCAATATTCTCAAGCTGTTGAACAACTTACCGGTGATATCAGTGGCTAGTTTGACATTGCAAAACCTTCCAGTTGGTTTATGATTGATGAAGTCTTTGCCATGAGGTGGGAAATTAGCTTTGACAATGGTGTGAATATGGTCATTGTTCCCAACATCTACTGTAGGGTCACCAAATGTTAAGATTGTTGGAGCAAGAGTTGTTGAATTTTGAGCATCCCCACCACTGATTGCAAAGTCCAATGCAATAATAAAAAACAATGCCCCTCTCAATCTCAAGTAGTTGTTGTTGATACCCATACTTTATAGGAATGGTGCGTTTTGAGGCTACTTCGAGCGAGGGTTATGTTATGTTATGTTATGTTATAATCTGCAGCTTTATGGTAGGCTTCCCTCCAAATCGGTTATTTTCAGGCCAGCAGCAGTGGCCCTTGCAAACTCTGAACTGTCCGAGGGGGAATCAAGCACGCATAGCTATCTTCTCAAGGAAGCGCAGGCCACTGTCAAATTAGGAAAAGAGCTGGGAATTAATTTCTGTGGGCAAGAAGAGGGTGTGGTTGAGAAGATTCTTGAGCTGGAGCTTAAGGACAAAGAGAGGTATTTAAAGGATGGAACCACTTAGCTGTAAGAGCAGTGTGCTGGGCTGCACCAGGAGGAACATATCTCGGAGTTCGGGTTGTTAACATGGAGCTTCTGCAGTGGGTGAGTGGAGTTTGGACCGGAGTAGAAGATTTGTACAATGGGTGTTTTGGTTGGTTGTTTGTCCTGGGGTGTATTAGGTTGCTATGGGTGTTCGAAGCTTGTTAGGGGGTGTTCTGTTTGGAGAGTATTAATTGGGTTAATTGGATGTTCTGTTAGTGGGTGTTCTTTCGGTTGGGTGTTCTGTTAGTGGGTGTTCTGCTCAGTTGGGGCGTTTTACATATGTGGTGTGTATTAATTAGATTTTGTGGGGGTAGTTTGTGGGGTGTCATGGTTTTTGTTGAGTTAAGTTCTTCTTAACCTTTGTTTTTTATTTTATCTTTTAAAAAAAACTCAGATGATGCCATAATTGAATATTTGACATTTGGTAATCCCAATTCTTACTGTGAGAAGCTTGAGAACTTGCTTACTTATGGTCTCGTTGATGGGCAGTTGGAACTAAAAGAAGAAAAATCAAAGCAACAATTTTGATTCTTGAATGGTTATGCAGATTTCAAATTGTTTCAACTGTAAGAGGTATTGCCAAAAAAAAAAAAAAAAAAAAAAAAAAAAAAAAAAAATGTTATGTTATAATCTTTTATAACCAGCAGAAAAGCTACCAACCAAAAAAACCCATAAATTATCATATTAGTCAATAAGAACATGTGATTGTGTGCCTATCTAATATTATACTCTTAGTTTTCTATTTTTTTCTTCCTTGCAGGGTCATGTAATTCTTTAGATCTCTTCTATGTTGGGCACATTACCAATCTAAAATTCCCGTAACACATGATATAATTATTCAAAAAAAAGTCTAGGAAATTTACTCAAAATAATAGTGCATGGTGTAGATTGAATTTTGTATAATAAGACCCATCTTTGAAATGCATCTTAACCATTAAATGCTCTTTTTCGGTTTTTTTTTTGGTTAAATATTATAGGTTTCTTGTATTGCTCATAATCAGTAGAAAAATTATCAACCCATAAAAGCAGTCCAAAAAATTTATCCAAAATAATAGTGGATGGTGTAGATTAAATTTTGGACAGTGGATGCCTTTGCAATGCATCTTAACCATTGAATACTCTTTCTCAGTATTTTTCTAGGTAAATATTGTGAGTTCTTAACATTGTTACTTCTATAATAAAATCAAAATGAGGATGAGAATAATATCTCATGGTCAAGATAAGTATCTAATAATAGTTAATGGAGTCTTGGAAGTAGACATATAGCATTAAAAACAAGTGATGTTTCGAGACTACTAAATAATTTTGATTTAAACTAATATCTGTCAAATTTTTTAGAAGTATTAAATGGAAATCACAATTATGAATTTTTGTTTCTCTAATTAATAGAAGAAGAAAAAGTCGTTACGGGATTATTAAATGATGCATTGGGAGTTGCAGCCACGAGACTAGTTGCCTAAACATCACAACTTTCAAATTATCTAATGCATGTTGGAACATCTGTAATCTGTCCAATACCTAGGGCTTACAGTCAAGTAGGGAACAAACTCCTAATAAGAAAAAAAGATTCATACAGTCAAGCAGGAAACAAACTAATTTCACACCATGCAAAATAACAAAATTGTCAAGAACAAAACTAGATCAAACATTGAAAAATGAAACAAATTAATCAAGTTTAACAATACACAATACAACAAACCAAGGGATCATAAGGTACCTCTATTGAGACTGAAGGGACAAAATGAACTATGAATAGAAAACAGAATTGGAAATTCTATATATTCCAGTTTGTGAAGGTAACCTCCTTAACTTGCTTTCTTTGATACTATAGTGAAATTCGCAGACAGATGTCATAAAAAATCTGCGAGTATTTAAAATAAAAAAATAAATAATAAAAAATAAAGAGAAGAGAAGAGAGCAAGGCAAGGCAGGGTAGTAGGGCTAACAGCTAATATTTCGTACTTCCTAGCATATTAAAGAGGTCAGCACACTTTGCTCATCGGCTCAATGGATAACACATGAAGCTTCAAAAAACTACATCAAGGAAATATGCGTAGAATATGTATAAAGACTTAATTAGCCATAATCTTGACAGAAACACTGACCTCTACATAAATGGTAAGCTTTATAATCAATGTAACAATCAGGAGAAAACTGTAGCTACCAAAACCCACAAATACTCACACAAGGATTTCCATGTCATGGGACTGCAAGCTTAATTTTAGAACCATAAAAGCCTCAAACAATATTAAGGTAAATGAACCACCACCTTCCTATACAATAAACATGCACTGACTGATTCACATGACGCATATTACTACCATTTCAGAGTTTGTTTACGCACGTTCTATGAAGTGTTTTTTTCGTAATCCCCATCGCTTACTCATTTTATGCAAATTAATTAACCACCCTTTTGGAAGAGTTTTTCGTAATCCCTACCACATATCCTTATACAAAAAAGTATCTGAAAAAGGCATTTTGTCGAGCACCAGGTGGGTGGACAACGATTCCCCCGAAATCAAATCAATGACAGAGACCCCAGGCAGCAGCTTTGAAGATTATAACTCTTATTCTCTTTGTAATTATTATTAAAGGAAAAGTTTATTGAATTGGGTTATGGGAACAAATGTTGGTTTATTAGTTTTGAAGAAGGAATGCTGTAACTGTATAGTCTGTATTATTTGTGTAGATACAAATATCGAATGCAAAATTCTTAAATCAAAACTGAGAGAAAGAGAGAGAGCTATTACCTTCAAACTCTAGTTTTTTCCAAGGAAGTAAAAGAGAGATCAAAATAGATGAGTGCAAATTGCAAATAAATATACAAATTTTGGATACAATACCTCGAGAGGTACTGATTGAACATTGAAGACTCCTAAAGCTCTTGAAGAGGTGATACCCATGTATTGACCGAGATCGAGGGTGAGATTGAGAGAGAGTGGGCGATGATGTCGGCTTGGTGAAGGTGGATTAACAAACTGATACCGGCAGGAGTGACCTCATAGATGAAAGATGGCGATGGCGATGGAGAAGGAGAGGGAGAGGGAGGGAGAGAGAGAGAGAGTGAGTAAACTCGATGATGGAAGATGGAAAGCAATACACAGAGAGAGATAGAGAGAGAGGGGAAAAATGAAAGTATCAGAGGTGCCAAGCGTTTGAGAATTTGCAAATTTTGGGTGTTTTTGTGGCTATTAGTGACGGCACAATGATGCCCATCGCAAAACAAAAAATTAAAAATATATATTTCCGTCGAGAGGGAGGAACAGTTGCAAAAAATGAGCCTTTCGCGACGGCCATAGGTTTGCTGTCGCAGAAACCATTGAACATATGCTTCCTCCTTTTTGAGGCAGAAATTACCATCGCAATAAGTGACCATTGGCAACAAAATATTAACTGTCGCAAAAAGAAGCTTTTGTGTATTTGTGTCTGGTGCATCAACTTATTCTGCTTTAGCACAGCTGTCTTGATAGCTATGCTCTACTGTATCTGTGCTGATTGTTTTTTACTAGCTCTACTATTGTGTATTTCAGTATCTGTTGGTTCCTCACCGACAGACAAGGTTTTAAAAAGCGGCCGCAACCGTTACGTAACGCCGTTACGTAACGGTTTTGGCGGTTACCGCCACCCGTTACGGCCGCTTTTGCAGTGTGATTGAGATTCACAGGTGTGTCGGCCGCAGCGGCTACCGTAGCGGTCGTAACGGTGTGTAACAGGCCGTTACAGCTGTTACAGCACTGTTACGTAACGGTTCCAAACTGTTTCTTCCGAAAAAACACACAAATAAAAAGGCTAAAAATAGGGGAAGAGGGATAGAGAGAAGAGAGAAGATAAAGAGAGAAAATGGAGGAACAAGAGATAGAGAGAGAGAAGAGGGAAGATGAAGAACATGTTATTAATTTGTTGAAACTGTAAGACCTATGCTATTCTATTCAGCTGCTATCACTAAACCATTTTGTTTGTGTGTGTCTATCTATATATTGTTTGAAAATAATAATAATAATAATAATAAGTGTGGTCATTATCTATTGTCATTATCTATTTGGCTTGGTTAAAATATGTATATATATATATATATATTTAGGCTCTTATTTATTCTCTTACTTTTGTCATTGTTTATTTTATGTATAATAGTTAGTGATTGATTTTTTGTATAATATAAAGTCATTAATTATTAAAATAAAATGTAAAAAACTCAGTTTATAGTGATTTAAAAATATGAAATATATTGCATCATACTTAAAAATTTACAAAAATTGATCAATATTTATTTTTAACCCAATAAATATGATCATGGAAAAAAAATATGCGTATCGGTAAGTTTTTTTCAAATTGTGCGAAAAATAAAAAAATTCACGGTTCCGGTTACCGCAACCGTTACACTACGGCCTTTACACCCCGCAACCGCAACCGCGTCACCGCCACCGTTACGGCGACCGCAACCGCTTTTCAGAACCTTGCCGACAGATGCTTGGTTTATTAAGGCTTTTGCATCATTCCCCCCTTCTCCCTCCTCCCCGCCCCCCCTTGCCCTTCTTTATTGGTGTGTTTCTTCTTTTCTTGTAAGGTTTTTCTCATCAATAAAATTGTTTTGGTTGATCAAAAAAAAAAAAAAAAGTACCCTGTTTGCACACCAGAGATACCTTTTTCTATTTTAGAAGGTTCACCATCCAGTGGCCGAGGAAATGCTAATGCCAGTCCTTAAGTTGGATACAAACACAATGCTTTTATTGGAAGTCGTAAGCATCACGTATGGCAAGCAATAAGAGCATCATCAGTTGCTTCATATTATCTTGATAATTTTTCTCATGGTATTCTCTTCTGGTGTTTTTTTGTACTCATCAGTTGGCTTTTTTACTACTTATTTTATATTGATTTCTTGTATGGTGTGCCTTCTGTCTTAATTTTTTTATTTTGTTTTGCCTTCCAAATATCTGTAGCTGTATATCGTTGGCAAGATGGTGCTATTGTAGCAAATAATCCTACCATATTTTTCATACACGAAGCACAACTTTTATGGCCAGATACAAAAATTGACTGTTTAGTTTCCATTGGATGTGGTTCAGTTCCAATCAAGGTAACCACAATTATCCAAACTTTGTTTCTGTAACGACCCCAAAATGCATATAAGAAGTCATCCTTATTTAACTAGGGGATAATGTGTTTTAATTTAATTATATCTATTGGAATTGAAGAACTATCTGTTGAGTTATGACTTTAAAACTGGAATTGACGGCCTTTACGGGTTCAAAAATCAAAATCGAGTACTTGGGTATGTTATTGGGAATTTTTAGAACTATTTGGAAAAATTAATTGGAAATCTAAT